CTATGGCTGTGGCTATGGTTCCGGATATGGCTGTGGCTATGGCTCCCGCTATGGCTGTGGCTATGGTTCCGGATATGGCTGTGGCTATGGCTCCCTCTATGGCTGTGGCTATGGTTCCGGATATGGCTGTGGCTATGGCTCTGGATATGGCTGTGGTTACGGTTCTGGATATGGCTCTTCCTGCTGTAGCTACAGGCCAATTTTCTACAGAAGATGCTATTCTTCTTGCTGCTAAAACATCACCATAATGTGGAATTTCTTTGAAAATGATCACTCCAAGTTATTTCTCTTCACTGTCTCAGGATCATAACTAAACCTATTGAATAATATTCTGAACTTACAGAGTATTCCTTGTCTTCTTGGCAGTCCAGCTTGGTGCCAAGGGAACCTGAATTATTCCATGATGTTACTTGAAGGCTGAAGGCATTGTTTAAGTGCAAACTTTCTAACTCATTGTTGAATATTTCTATATTGTGGTCATTTCCAAATAAACATAATTCTTTGCTCCTAACAAATTTGTGTATGTTTTGTGTTAGACATTCCTTTGGCTTAGCATTTTTGTCTTCTATGTCTGTTTCTTCCGTAGAGCTTGGCAGAGGTAATCTCAGCTGGTCATTCCAACTGTGTGTCTGATCTCTACTCCATTGCTTATCACTCATGACTTACTGAAGGATATTTGCCATGAATAACTTCCCTAAAATAATGGCCCCCATTGGTAGAGTCTTGTGTTCTGAGTTTATTTTACTGAAGCATTTGTTCTAAGCTTCAGAGTCTGTTGGAAGATTATGATTCTGGATCTGTCTTTCTTTTTATAGGAACACTCATCAATGCGTGCATAAACACAATTACACATAGACAAATGTCAGCTGAGGTGATAGCATTCATATCAGCCCATGTCAAGGACAGATCACTTTGGAGTAAACAGTATGAAGTCCCAACAATATATGGGACTGGCTCATGAATAAGACCTTGAGAAAAGTTTTCCTGTACCCATAGTAACTTTGGGAAACATGAGAGATTCTGAAGTATGCTGGCTTTTATACAGAGTAATTTCACAAGGAAATGGGTTCATAGAAGTATCGACTCCCTGTTGATTCAAACATTCAGTGATTTGAAATGGAGACTATGTAGCTTAACATAATGAACAAATGACTTTCTTAATATAGCAGATCTGTAATTTCAATAAGATTTCTAAACTGTCTTTCAAACCAAAATTACTCCACTAAAGTCATATCTTTCACAATTTCTTTGAGACTAGGAGATTATAAAAGGTGAAGGAAATATGTGATTTAAAAAATCAGACCACTAAACAGTTATTATAAAGGATTTTTTTTGTGTGTATGCTTTTCTCGTTGAGTCAGTGACCACTTAGAACTGATAATAAATTACTGAGGAGTGGTACCTGATGGAAGAAATAAAGGAGTCTTATTGGATAGTAGTTTTTGGTAACCAAGTCTTTAGTAATAGAAGTGGATGTTGAGTTGTAACTTTATACACCTAAATCTTATGGAGTGCTGGAAATCAATGTTACCTCAATAGGGAAGAAAAATTCATGGCTAGTTGGAGTCATCAGAACTCTAAAGACAAAGTGTTGAGGAATTTATATATATATATATATATGGCAGCATTGAGTTACAACGAGATCCCCTATGAAGTAATTTGCAGTTAGCAATTTGGTTAAGGTTATTAGTCAAACTAACTTTATTAGCCACATAAGCAAGTTAAGCTATATTCCCCTTGTTCACAGAACTTTAGAAAGCATCCCCCTCTCAAGTTCATCCATGTGCTGCACATAGCAAGATTTCATCATCGTTTATAGCTTAGTAGTTAGCCATTGTGTAGATAAAACACACCTTTATCCACTTGAATAACTTGGGTTACTTCCAAAATGTGACTATTGTAAATAGTGCTGCAACAAACACAGAAGTGCATATGTCCCATCTAATCACTGTCTTTGTACACTTCAGGTAGTTACCTGGGAGTGTAATTGCTGGATCACATGGCAAATCAATTGTTAATGTTCTGAAACTCACCTCTCCCTCCCCCCCCCCACGACACTTTTAGCTTGATGTCATCTATTCCCATAGTTTCCATGGTAAACAGCTTCTGGTACATGATGTCTTTATCATTGAAAAATATTTCTTTGTTTTTACTCAGAGTTTTGGTCCTTGGGATTACTTTATCCTCCTCTGCTTTTAAAACTTTACATTCTGGTAAATCTTACCTGCTACCATGTATATGAAAGTGCTCTTAAAACTAAAACCTTGTGGCCCTCCCTGGTGGTGCAGTGGTTTAAAGCACAGCACTAAGAAGCTAAAGTCACTTCAGCATGAGTTTGATCCCCGCCCTGGAGGTGATCCATGTGGTGTGGCAAATCTCTCCTGTCTCCCCTCTGCTCCCCTCAGCAGTGTACTCTGTCAGTCAGCCTGTTTTGCTCCCCACTCTGTCTCTGGTGAATCGTCTCTG